AAACCTTCAGGCAGCTTAGAGCTAGCTATTATTGGCTAACGCTAGCTAAAGACGGATTAAATGTTATAATTTGAAGCAAAGCATTAATCAGTCATTGTATGGAACTTATATACATTCCAATACTTCTTCAGACAAAGTGTTTCAAGTGTGTTAAAGGTTTTTTTTTTAGTTTTTTTTTAAGTTTATTTTGTTATAACTTTAATATGTTACATTTTGGATATCACAGCTAGAGACTTCTATATTAGTTACACTCTTCAAAATAAAAGTTGCTCAGTGGTTCTTCAACTGGACTTACAGTTCAAGGAAAAAAAACATTTAAGTAGTACATTATTTGAAGGTTAAATAGGTTATTTGGACATGCACACCTCATTTATGGTTTAAAGAACCAACCATAAAAATGATCTTTAGGGCATCAAAAGTGGTTCTTTTATGGAATTGCTGGAAAACAAAAGCCTTTTTGGCACCTTTATTGTTGAAAATCTAGATCCTGAACTCAAACAGCATCTTAGCTAGTGGTGATTTTGCATGTGGTTGCAGGTGACATTAAAACACAAACTCACTGTTCAGTCATGTGGATCAAATCTGCAGGCCCTGAGAAGAGGCACGATACGTAATACCTTTATAACAGCTGAATGCATTTGTCTTGGCCTACCATGGAGCTAAACCAGCCTCTGCAGGCCGAGACCAGCCGGCAAACCAGAGGCAGCCGGATTCTCCTCACCTTCTGAGACTGACACCTGTTCCTTTCAGATCGTATGTGCAGTGATCCATGCGTGGCCATAAGCTCACCGTGCTACACGCTGCTTCAGTTAGTGTACCGAGAGTGGATGGCAACACAAGCATTTGCTTTACCGCACATTTGGGGAGAGCAAATAAGGTAATCAGCAATGCTGACACCATCGCTAGGGCTGGCAGGAAAAAAAAGGGAAGCTCTGAGATTGCACACGTCTTTCCAGATATTCCATGAGCACTCATAAATCTCACGGCACCTGGTTGGAGACAGTTGCAGCAGAATGGAAATATGTATCAACGTGTAGTGGGATGTCTTCCAGGTGGAAAGAGAGCCTTCAGTACAACTATAAAAGCTGGATTTTTTACTATAATCACTAATGTTCTCAAAAGGTGCCAAAAGGGGTTCTTTGCCAAAAGGGGTTCTTTGGAGTGAATCACCTTTCAGTGGATAGTTAAAGAATCATGTTTGTAAATTAGATCCTTATTAAAGTTTAACTAACTTAATATAAATGTAATCTTAATGTAATCTATACCAATTAAATGTTTTTTTTCATAGAAATGTATTTTTTCTTCTATTTTATTTTTTTCCGTCTTGGGGTCCACTTATGACATTTGTGTGCTTTTATGTACTGAAAACAGTCATATGACCAAAAAATTCATTTTTACCATTTTTGAGCCTCTCCTTATGTTTTAGAATTAAACAGGCTGTTTTTTTGTTACTGTGCCTTTAAGACTGATATATATGTAAATGAGCTCTGTGTTCTGGGCTGCCCTGTATTGTGTGTATCATTGAAAAAGCAGTCTTGGTTAAAACATTCTTTATAACTTCGACATAAATGGGCGGCGCTGTAGGTAGATACATTTGAATGTGTTGGGTTCCGTGACACCACAAAAACAGTGGATTTAAGACAGGCTGATTTTGCAGTCTTCAGATCTCATTAGGAAAATTTAGCTTTCCATGATATGGGCCAGAAAAGTGTTTCAAAATTTTTAATAATTAAGATGTAAACAAGGTTATTCTTAGTGGTCAGAATTGTTTACAGTGGTGGTGAGTTTCATTAACCAGATGGCTGAAGAGTTTTAATGCATCTATAAGCTCAATCACAGAAAGTTTTTATATGCAATGGTTACAAATGACAACTTTGTAATAAACATTTGGCACAAAACAATTTTTGAGGTAGATGCATTAGATATAAAAATGTTACTGGCCATTTTAGGCAGTATGTTGGTTCAGATAGCAAATGAGATGTCTACATTTTGTGTTGTAGATATTGTGACCCCTGGTTCCTATCACCACCACTGTAAAGACGTCTGACATTGTAAGTTTCTCTCTAAATGCACCATTTCATATCAAACCACTCTGACTGATTTTGTAGTCCTATGTAAAATGTCTGCCTGTTCCAAAACATTGTACTTAGGCTTTGCATAGATACTAGCATGGCTCCTTCCACTTTTACACATTGGACAGTAAAGGAAAGCATAGTAACTCCATATGTTAGCTACTTTTGAGGAGTAACTTTGTTCATTAGCTTTAACTTCTGTGTTCACTTTACTGTTTACTACATGAGCCTGTTTAGGCAGTAATTGTCAGAAATTCTGCTCCAAAACATGTCGGGAGGGAGTCGCCACAGGAAAGAAACAGCTAACAATAGGGCCAGTGGTCGATCTGGAAGCCAGTAAAAGGGCGATGGAGATTTAGCAGAGAACAGACCTATTGTGAGGCTGGCTGTTTGAGTGGGCCCGGAATGAAGATGCCCCCCATTGTCACTTATTAAGTCTGCGACTCCACTGTGCCACAGCGGACGCTTTAATCCCCCAGAGAGATGGTCTTTTGAAGGAAAGATGAAGTGGTGATACCGGTGTGTCTCTATGGATATCCCTTTACCTGACTCACTTCCAAAACCCCCAGTAACTCAGTAAAAGCTTTTGAAGTCTATTACTAAAAAGGACATGCTTTAGCACAGAGTATGCTATCAATTTATCCATATCTAATTAAACCACTTTTTAGCTACATATTTCAAAAGAGGTAACAAATGGAGGATAAATGTATGACACTCAACTGTCCAAGACTGCAGTTTCAAACTTTTACCCCTGAGGTCAAGTGGCGAACTCACAATAGACTCTGAAACTTGCACATACCTGAAACATTGGTGATTTCTCTCCCTTTCTTTCTCCAGTTTGTGACTTGGAAATTAATCAAGTTCCACTATCATTAAGGATGTATTAGTTCTTTAGATACAGAGGAATCCTACACCTATAGCTAGGTCTGTGGTACAATTTCTCTGCTTCCACCTTGTATTTATTTTGGATGATTGCAATCCGTGTCATTGGGATGTTATTGTGAAAGAATCAGGAAAGTTAATTAAACAGTTGATGTGGCTGAATTTCAGGTAACCATGCTCATGTGATGCCACCCATCCAGACTTTTCCTGGATTGTCCTGAATTTAGGTTGTCTACCCAGGAAATAATGTCTATATAAATAGTCCAATCCTAGATGTCCTGGAACACAAGCATTTTCACGTTAGCATTTCTTATGAATTTTAAACTGCATCTTTATATCCAGCCCAACAATTTGTCTACAAAGAATGGGTCTGAATGGTTCAGATTACCTTCAGCATAGGGAGAGTTGCACACTGTTCAACTGAACTGTGCTGTTGGTAATGTTTCACTAACAAATCAAGCCACTGATCAAAGGAGCAGGAACTTTACAGGGCTGAGGTTCAACCCTAGTTGATAATATTGTAAGTGTTTAATAAAACCTAACCCTTTACACCCAGTAGTAGATGATGAAAGGTGATGGTACGCCATTTGACAAACATATATAATTCCTCAATCCTCACATCTTATTTTTGTGTCTTCAGAAAGAGGAGCTAAGATGCGAGGACGGATAACTAAAGATATGGGATGCACTCATGCTCTCCGTTTTGAGATTGGAAATGCTCATTTCAGATTGGATCCTATTGCCCTCTGCTGTCCGGGAGCTGCAGTACACTGCACAGAAGACTGAGTTTCAACACCAATCATCAGGACCTGCTGATGAGCTGCGTCAGGTGTGCTGGGGCAGGGAACAGCTGAAACTGTTCAGGGCAGTCAGTCCCCAGGACTGGAGTTCAAAGCCACGGCAAGAGAATGCAAAAAGAAAACAGATACAACAGAACATTAATGATTTCACCTTATGCACTGCTAGTTAAGGTCTTATTATGGTTAAGAAGAAGGAAAGAAACCAGTAAAATCTACATACAATAATTAAATTGATGCTAAGCCTCAATTCTGAAATCTGGATAGTATTTCTGTGATTATTTTCAATAAGTGTTTGTTCCAATAAGTCCCATAGGAGTGTATTTCTTTATTGTACACCTGTTTATTGTTATGTTATTTGTCTGTTGTGTACAGGTGCAATACTTTTTGAACAATATGTTTACCAATATGTCAAGTCCAGCAAATAAACAATAATTGTGCATTAAAATGTGAAGAAGTGTGTTCTTTGTAGGAGATGTATTCATTTATTTTCATTCAGAAAATCAACAAAACATGTAATTCGACCAGGGGTTCACAAACGTTGCATCTGACTGTAGATAAAGTGAATATATTTCTTTGGCACACGTATACAAGACACTGCATCATTTAATACAGACAACAAAATTCAATGTAAATCATGTAAAATGACTAACAGCTTAGCAGTTACAGAATGAAGACATATGTAAGAGGTTACTCCTTTGGCCTACGACTATAAATTCAGTAGATGTATTCTAATTCTGAGTTTGAGAAGATGGGGAAAGAAGAGCCCAGTGAGGAATTGGGAAAGAGAACCTGCTGCTTTTTGGGTGTCAGAATGAGAGAGAGTCAGAGAGAGCGAGAGAGAGAGACAGCAGTGTCAGGGCACTGTTCTGAAGCAGGTGGTAGGGAGGGATAATCCAGGTAAGTCCTTAATGCAGGCTGGAGGAGGTGAGAGGAGGGGAGGCGGGCGGAGAGGTTGCTAATTGTGGCCTGCTAATCCAGGCTGGGCCTTCCCCTCCCCCTCCTCCACTGTCCTACTCTTCCTATGGCACGGACAGGGAAGACCGGGTATAGAGGCAGAGATAGACGAAAAGAGAAAGACTCCACCCTGCTAAGCACGGTCTGAACTGTGTTAGAGGGGAAGGAGGACTGACGGAAAGTGAAGATCCGCGTCTGACTGCGGGCCACCTGGGCAACCCAATACCCACCAGGATACATACTGCGTAGAATGTAGCTGTGGTATTCTGCATACTCTACAAGTAATACCACCATGGGAGAAGTCCAAAAGGTATGCATGCTCACATCTCTCAGTAGGTGCTGCCATAATTCCAAGAGGCCCAATCCATCTGGGCCAAAGCCATCACTGCTTGTGCAAATTTGTGATTATAGGCATGAACTGAATACACAGTGTAGTTTGATATAAGCTGCTGGATATTATATATTATATATTATATATCTTCAATCTTCAGCAACTTGGAGAACATTTGAACTGCAGATCATTAGAGTTTGACTTTCTCCAAATTATGATGATCATCCTTGAAACCTTGATTTACAATGTCAGGGTGATGATGTAATATCCACTGAGTCTTTGTTCTGGTTAGTTTCAGCTTCAGTTGTATGCTTGTTTTCAGGGACCTAGCACTATTTATTTTAAATATGTTTCAATGTAATCATGAATTATGCTCCTGCTTTTCTTTCCAGTGACCCAGATCTCTTTCTTGTTTAACTCTATGAACCCCAGGGCTTGTTTTCTGTCATTGAGAAGCTAAAAGGCACGACAGAACAGGAGCTTCGGATAGTCCTTCTTGGTCTGGATAATGCTGGGAAGACCACCTTACTGAAACAGCTTGCCTCTGAAGATGTCAACACTATCACCCCAACCCAGGTAAGACATGGCAAAGGCCTTCTGCTACACATAAGTTCAAAATTCATCCAAGCTCTGGTTTCACAAGACCCAAATCCTTAGGTAGCACAACTTACCTAACTGCGAGGCATTAGGTTATGAAAGCAGCGTGGCCTGCTGCCATCACAAGGTGTTATGCTTGGTGTTTATCTAATGCTGGACACATTCAAGGCAATTATGGTGGAAGAACTGAATACAGGGTTTTTTTTAAATGTAAAAAGCATTGTATTGCTTATGATGAGCAGGAGGAGGTGAATAGTTCAAAGTGTGTTAGCAGCTACAGCTAATGGTGGTGTGCTCTGAGAGTGAAATTCTATAAGTGCAGTTAGTGCAGTTATATTGTTACATTATCATACTTTCAATGACAAATTGATGTATTTTTGCATCTGACTTGCTAATTATTTATACAGGTTGTCATTATGGAACTGAAATAAAATGTAACGGACTAGAACGACACACTTTCCTCATTCAGCTTATGATTTCAACCATGTTTCTGATTTTATTCTGAAATTATTCTACCAAGGATGTGGGAGAAATGCCCTACAAGTTTACCCTACAAATAAAGGAAGCTGGCAAATCAATTTTAGTGATAGTCAAATGAGAGACAGACTAAAGAAAGAAGTAGCCAAAAGCTCTCGACTGGGGAGGAATTACACATGACTCATAAAATTACAGTCCTAAATCACATTACACTGTGGGACAGAACAGGAAAGACTTCTAAAGAGCTTTTCCTTGAGAATCCTGGTGAGAAGATAACTGCCATGTACAGAGAACATAAGGGCAACACGCACCTAAATAACAACAACTTAGATGGCAGCACACCTGGAGGTGACAACAATGCTATTTTGTTCAAAACTAAAGTGGCTTTTTATGTCACCACTACTGGAACAAAACCCTGCATCTAGAAAAAATGGTATCTTTTCAGCACAATGAAAAAATTTTCTTGACTTTAATGTGAGTTTATGTAACAAGATTTTATTTCAGGTAATTTTAGACCATTTCTATTGGTCCATTCATCATCAAATGTTCATATAGAATAAAAAAGCAGTTGATCTGTCATTCAAGAAAGTTTGCAAAGGGATCAAAAACATGAATTGCAGACTATGTACATTTTTGGAGGTGTGAGTAGATAGGCAGTTGATGTAACTGAAGCTATAAAAAATCTTACGAGAGGCCTTGGTCAACGTCTTGAGTCTCAAGGCCAATCCTTGAGGTCTAGAAAGACAAATAAGTGACTGACTAAACTGTTGACTCTTGAGAGGTCAGGGTCATGACAGGGCATGGCTGTTTGTGAGGCCTATTTCTGTCTCATTCTAGTCCAAAGTAAAGTCAGCAAAGGTCCTGTGTGGCTGACCTTGTTACCAATTTATTTAACGTTTAAGACCTGCTTATGTGGGGCTGGAGCTTCTCCTCACTCTATCAGACAAACCTGGCTTGAGAGTACACTCTTTTTTAATGTGTGCCTTTATATGCTGACTTATTTTGCTGTTAGAGGGAGCTGTTAGGACAGCAACACACCAAGGAAAAGCTTTTGAGTAGAGTGGATCCTGTCTAAGTCCAGAGACCTGGCCGTGTATTTAATCCCACGGTTGAAGATTACTTAACAATAAAGTCAGAGAATTTGGAGGCTACTTATGGGCCAGCTAAATATAGTTAGCACCTCTCTTGCTGGCCATGGTTAACATCTGACCCAATCAAAAACAAGGCATTGTTTATTAAGAGTAAAGACTCAGCAATTATGCTGTCTTTCATGTCACTCATGCCATTCTTTTTCTTTTGGCTGACTCCTCTAGGGCTTCAATATTAAAAGTGTAACCTGTCATGGTATGAAACTGAATGTGTGGGACATCGGTGGACAGAGGAAGATACGTCCCTTCTGGAAAAAATATCTCGAGAACACAGATTTGTTGGTATGACGTCATGTTCATTTATGAAATTCACATTGTTTAAGGTTGTAATAATCAATTTGTCAGATGACATATATGTGAAAAAATCCCTTTGATTGAGCCATTCTTGTAGGTTTTGGATTTTTCACCTAGCATTTTTATCAAGTACAGTAAAATGAAAAAAGGTAGATGGAAATAGCAAAGTAATATAAACTGAGAGCTTGAGTGTTGACAGGTGGTTGCACAAGGCTATGGCTTCAAGCTTAATTCAGGATGGCTGAAATCATAACTACAAAGGAGAAGATCCACTTGAAAGGAAATTGCCTTCTCTGTCGGAAAAGCATCAACCCAAACAAAATTTTCTCTAACTTTTTTCCTTCCCCTGACAGATCTACGTCATTGACAGTGCCGACAAGAAGAGGTTCGAAGAAACAGGCCTGGTGAGGAAACGCAAGAAACTATGACACTATATATATATATATATATATATATATATATATATATATATATATACACAGAAAAGGCACATAAAGAAGCACCAATCAATGGGGGAGGTCACAACTAACCACTTACTTCACTCTGACGGTAGACCAACCCCCAACACAAATAACACATGGACACTTAGACTAATAAACAACATCATTAACAACAAGTCCTTTTGCTGGAGGGCACGCACCTTCCATGTTCTTCCTGGCATTGCCATCAGCATGGCCTTGCCTCACTAACTTGTTGAGGCCTGTGCCAGCCAGTAGCAGATTGGCTACATAGCCCCCCTTTAAAGGTCGACTGTCCTCAGATCGAGCCAAGTCCCTGGGTGCAGGCACAGTACCAGCCAGCATTAACACTGCAGGGCATTCGTTCCTATGCGGCAAGCGCCCCATTCCTCACCCGTGAATGCTTCCTCGCCACCACAGGTCCTTCTGCACATCATAACTTCCCCCAGTACACTACATAAAGTACTATGCAGCTGAGGGCGACAGCCGCCAAAACAGCATTCCACCATCTGTTTTCTCCGCTGCCTACTATGCCATTTACACTGGCCTGAACACTGCTTGTGTGAATCCTCCACAGCTGTTAATTGACTTGAGCTGGACAATGGTCGCCATCCAGTCATTCGATATGCCCCTGTCGGTGTGTGTGAGCACACCTGGTTGCAGTAGAGAAATGACGAACCCGTGATGGAACAAGAAGAGCCGTCTGCCATCCACACTGCACTCAACACACCGCAGGCACCGCTGAACCTCCCAGCTGGTATCTTTTTACCCGCCAGCCCAGGCTTGCAGCACCGCTCTGTCTGCAGGCCTCCCCATGCTGGTTTCGCCATTGAGCCTTGCCGGACGCCTTTCATATGGAGCTTCGCAATGCTGTCCAAGCTGTCTATCCTCATGGTCTATTGCCAGGCTCTGCCTCTCTCGCCATCCACTCTCGAGTTTGTGGAAGCGCCACTCCTCACCAGTCCACTGGGAGAGGCACTATCTAACTGCTGACACCAGTGTAGCATTGGCATAGAGTAAGACACAGGGGAGATCATGATTACACCACAAAAAGAGTTCTTTATTAAACAACAGGGCAGAAAGGCACATACAGAACGATCAACCCTCAGGGAGGTCACCACTAACCACAGGCTTTACCCTGACAGCAGAGTAACCACATATCACAAAACACACTAACCACCCACATCCCCTGACAAAGAATAACACAAATAACACACATACACACTGATAAACAGCAACATTAACAATAACAATAAATCCTTTTTACGGAGAGTATGCGTCTTCCATGTTCTTCCTGGCATAATATAATCTATAGACCATGTACATAATATACTTGCTACTATATATATATATTGGAAAACATTTCTGACCTTTTGCCCTGGTAGGAGCTTTCAGAGCTGATTGATGAGGAGAATCTGAAGGGAGTGCCAGTGCTCATCTTTGCCAATAAGCAGGACTTGGCCACAGCGTCCCCAGCCAGCGAGATTGCAGAGGGGCTCAACCTTCACACATACCGAGACAGGGAGTGGCAGATCCAGGCCTGCTCGGCTGTATCTGGAGAGGGAGTACAGGTGAGCCATTAATGATGGCATAAGGAGGAAGAGGCCTGTTAGAAAAATGTGTTAAAGAAAAGTTAAAAAGCACTCCTTACACCTTAGACCCTTGATCAGCCAAGTAAGACATGTTTGGAGTGTGAAGTTGTTAGCTAACAAGCTGTATTGAGTAGTTATCTCAGATAGACTTGCCATTGAGGTTTCTGACACTGTATGTTATACTGTTATCTACAAACATGTCATTACATATAGCTAAAAACTGAACATACCTGAAACCTGAATTTTGTCTGTACATTTGCCTATTTTTATGGACAACTGTATGTTACATGGTGTCAGAAATCAGATAACCACATGTATTTTGACATATCAACTCAACACAGATATAAGTATGAAGCATGGGCTCTGACTGACAGATACGCTTCTATTACTTGTCAGCTGCATTAGCCTCACAGCTCCTGTGCAAAAATTAGAAGCAAACATTGGACACCAAACATGCCTTGGGCTAAATTTGGGGAAGGGATAAATGGTTTGCATTTGATTTTTTGCTAAGCTATTCTTTTAATCAAGGATTTGTATTAATTATGGCCAAACAGAACTTTAAGATGCATAGTGCCCTCATTATTTTTTTTTAAGTCCTTGGCCTAAGGCCATGTTACGTGAATGATGTAAGTACATTACCCAAAATCAAGCAAATAGAGTCATCTGATCTCATTCACTACCCATTAGAAGGCATGAAATCAAAGTTATGTATCATTTTGCTGTATTATGCCCTTCACACAGTGAAGAGATTAGTGCTGTAAATGACGCTAAACATTTGTTTTCTTTCTTTTCTCAGGATGGAATGAATTGGATCAGCAACAATATTGTAAATAAGAAGAAATGAACCTGCTTGTGAACATCTGTCATTTTGTACAAAAATAAAACCTCTCCGATGTCTGAGTATAAAAATAGCCCTGCTAAATCATGTATGAGACAGATTTCATCGGGCACTCGCTTTTTGTAACGTTTTGTAAGTTGTGTAAGATGAATCCTAAACGATGAGCATTAAGCAGCCTTCTTCTGTTTGACATTCATTCTCTGTCCAAGACTCTTCTGAGTCTACTATCAAAAAAAGATAAGGAAGGGGTGTTTCTGTTATTCTGACCAAATAAGCTTGCTTATGATTTGTCTCTGGCAGTATCTTGGTGACCTTCCAGATGGTTCTGAAACATTTGATTTGACAGTAAATAATGCTAAAACAGAACTTCCAGCCTAAAATGGAACGTCCTTCAGCATATCAATCCCAAGAGAATTTAGGTTTTAGCCTAAAAGAGTTCTTAGCTTTAGCTAGTTTTGAAGCCATGTGTTGGAGGAACCATTCAGAGAGGCTCTGGGCTGAACTCCTGCTCTCTCTTCAAGCTCAGGAGACTCAGTTATGTTTCTGTGTTCTGCTGGCTCACATAGCGTTGATATGATAGACTGGTGTGTGCATCATTTGTGTCATTGTGTGAAATGATCTATTGTGACAATAAAGTTTTCTCTAGTTCTTTACATGGAATCAGTGTTGCTTGAAACACAAAGCACATATACAGATCAGCCATAACATTAAAACTGCCTCCCCGTATCTACACTCATTGTCCAACAACTCCACTTACCATATAGGTGCACTCTGTAGTTCTACACTTACAGACTGTATCTGTTTCCCTGCATACTTTGTTAGCCTCCTTTTACCATGTTCTTCAATTATCAGGAATCCCCAACAGAGCAATCCACCATAGAGCAGGTATGATTTGGGTGGTGGATCATTCTCAGCACTGCAGTGTCACTGATGTGGTGGTGGCGTGTTAGTGTGTGTTGCGCTGGTATGGGTGGATCAGACACAGAGTGCTTTGTATAGTAAGAATAAATGGTTTATATAAGACTAGAATCAAGCATTTCTGAGAAATCAAATAGCATATTTGCCATTATGTTAGGAGGCATGGCTCCAGGCTGAACTGGTAAAACTGCACACAAAAAATCATGGCGAGGATAAATGTAGTTATGTTACAACTGAAGTTTGGGGGGAGGAACATGCCTGAAACCCCTCCTTCTTCCTATCTAACACCTGATAAATTCATCCTCACCTTCCCTTCCTGTGACAAAGTGTTCGCAATCCCCACCGCCAACCAATCTCCTCCCTGTTCCTCAGTCCTACATCAGTCATACTACAGCATTTAACATGAGAGTATGCTGAAACAAAAAAATGATATTTTGCCAAGAAAATTACATTTATGAATTAGAAAAATAAAAATTAATTAACAAAACCCAACCAAACCACTAAGAACGCTGGGAAGTATTTTGGGCAAAACGACTCTTCAGGGTGTAGGACTCATCCACATTAAGTGATCTTATCTAGATTTGCCTTGGTAACTTAGATTTTTATTAGTAATTTTAGCAAAAAAAAATTGTGCAATTCTTATGTTTTAAAGTGTATGCAACCACTTTTTCTCCACTTTAGCCCTGAGGCACAAAGTTCCCATCAAATCTCTTCACAAGAATGACAGAGTACACTTGAGAGATCTGGAAGTTAGATAAAATGAGTGAGGGATTGCAGGGATAACAGGTTTAGACTTCTAGGCTAGAACATGTAGCATTTTATTTCCAGAGAGAATCTCAAGATGTGATTGTGAACCATGAGGACAGACTTAGCCATGACTCAGAGTGTACAGCTAGCTGCCTCTCAAGTTTACTGCACCTTCTGTGACTGTTGGTATGGATCATGTTTTTATTAGAGGGGATATGGAGGACCCCTTGTGCTAATCCTAGTCCATTAACATTACAGCACATTCAGCTCTATAATAAGCCTGTGATCTAACCAGTACATGACTGAGGGTCTGTCGCTGTCCCAGGCAAACATAAGAGTTTGTGCTTTAGGGCAGATCACATCGATTCAGTCCCACATCAATATAGGAGAAGAGACACTCCTTTCATAAACAGGTAAGTCTGGCAGCGAAGGCTTAGTAGGTTTAGCATATGAGCATGATACCTTAGAGAATATTATTAGTTGCTACTTTATTTGAAAGATCACAGCATGTAAACATCATTCAGCCTTACCAAAAAAAAGTTTAGAATCACCATTCAAAAGTTCTGAATCACTGTTTTGAATAATATAAAATGGATTTATTGTAGATACACATATGAAGTGCTTCTGATTAGGTATTATAATTATTATAATAATTAAGAAAGATGTTTAACATAATAATGAAGTTATGATGAAGAAGAACAGTTGTGTGCAAACATTTAGCCTCTGCAGCAAATTATTTTCAATATATAAATACATATTTTTCTGTGAATGTTAATACATAAAGGAATTTTCACACACTCTTCCAGAGCGCTTCCAGTTCTGCAATATTCTTGGGTCATCTTGCATGCACAGCACGTTTAAGATCTACCCATAGATTTTTAATGATGTTCAAGAGACTGTGAGGGCTGTTAAAAAAGCTTCAGCTTATACTTCCTGAAGTAGGTTGTGGATGACTTTGAAGAATGTTTTGGATCATTGTCCTGTTGTAGAAACCATCCTCTTTTCATTTCAGTTTCCTGTATCACATTTGCTTCCAGAAATCGCTGATATTTAGTGTAATCCATTCCTCCGTCCTTCCATGCAATGTTTCTTGCGCTACCACCCAACCCCAACGCATAACATCCACCCCCTTGCTTAACAGTTGGCAAGGTGTTCTTTTCATCAAATGCTGTTTCTTTTTTTATTACAATCATACCTTTGGTGATGGTGGCCAAAGACTTTCATTTTTACTTCGTCAGTCCATAGCACTTGTTTCCAAAATGTATCTGATTTATCTAGATGTTGTTTTACATACTTCAGACTTTTCAATGCAGATCACGTTTCTGCAAGCAACACTGCACAGTAGAACAGTGCACCACCGCTCCTGTGTCAGCTAAACCTTCCTGCAGGTCCTTGTTATCCTATGGGGGTTTTGCTTTGCCTTTCTGGCCAGCATAAAAATGTTTTATTATGTAAAGTAGTTTGCTGCGGAAGGCTGTGTTTATTTCTTTTTACTTCAAAAACACAATAGGTAATTTGGCCAGATGTGCCCAAACTTTTGCATACAACTGTACATACATAACCACTGATATGTCACTACAGTGCACTAGTTATCAATTAATAACTCCTTGTTGACCTATTGAAATATTTAATATTTTTAAAATACTTTATAGTGTAGTTTGTTGTACATCTACACTGTGTTAGTTATTAATGTATAAAATAACAACAAATATTAATATGACAAGTGATTCCAAACCTTTTAGAGGTAATTTAGGAAATCTTGACCTGAGTTCTAAAAATATGTCACCCTTTTTAGTTTTCATTTTTGAAAACTCAACCTACCCAAGTTCATGTACCTTAAGTTAATGATAGATACTTTTTGGACAGACAAAGCTTTCTTGTATCTCAGCAATGATTATGTGGGTAAGAAGAAAAAGAGATCCTAACAATGTATTACTGAGTCAGTAAGTATTCTGAATGTAAAGAAATGTTACATTATGTGCTGCTCTGTGTCTTAAGCTGTTTCACTGGTGAACATTGCTCAGGTCATCATGCGTGTGCTGTACACTGACCTGGATAAAGAGAAACAGCAGCAGGCTCTGGAGCTGAGCTTAGAGGCACGAGGAGGTAAGTCACAGCAGATGCAGCCCAAACATCTGCAGAGCAGACAAAACAATCTTTCTCAATTTTTCTAAATGAAAAACTGAACTAACAATTAAATTGCAAAAAAATTTCATTAAAACTCTACATATTGCTAGTGTCCACCATGCCTCACCGGATGTGGTAGGAGTTGGTAGCTGAAGCAGTATGAGGGCGTGTAATGAAATATCACGGCAGGGATCTAATAGCCTTCATCTGGGGAAGATGACTCACACCTCCATGATTGGGCAAGAACCGGAAGCCTCTCAAACATGAGCTGATTGCGCAACCAGCAGGCACTGAATATGTCCAGACACCAGTGTCAAATTTAATGATTCAATTGCTCTATTAGACTTGCAGTGCCCAAGCTCAGACAGCCAAGACGAGACAGGCTATGGTTTCAAACATGCCTTTGATGTTCAACCTTGATGAAACTGAGAATATAAAATAGAGAAGTGTCTGTTTTCACCTCTCGGGCTGACATACACTACTGTAATATTAGCATACTGATATAAATATGTCATCTTTACTGATGAGCTTGCTAAGATAGCTTACACATTGTGATAATGCCTGTAACAACAGGGGCATTCATCTCTGGCCTCACAATTACTTGATTCAGTTAGATTCTGTTCAGTTATGATTCTGTAGGAAATGATTCATTACATTGTGAAATCTCAAGTTTTACTACTATTCAACTGGATTATTTCAATATGATTGAGAATTATTCAGACTGAATACACAAATGTGGCTAGAGGATCTACAGCACTTTGTGAAAGTGAAAAACCACCCTTCATTTCTTTAATTTCCAGTCAAAACAGCCATTAAATGCCAGTTTCATCAATTTTTCAGTATCAGAAAATGATAACAGGAAAGTTATACAGAAGCCTGAACAACTAAATATAATTTCAAATATTTTTAGTATTTAGTGTGTCCACTCTTTGACAGCTTATGCTACAATCTTTTCAGACCCATAGAATTGAGTTTTCCTCTCACAGTGAAAGGAAGGACAGAACACCTGTGGATTTTTCTGAAGTGAGAGTGGAGCTTGATTTTTCTTTCAAAAATGAATGTGCTGTTTCTTTTAATATGGACAGTTTTGGTGTTCTACTAGGTCTTATATCGTTATTAGAATCAGTAAAACTAGTTGATTTAAATGAAGTGCATTGGCTATCTCTACTACATTGTTTGCCTTGGATTGAGTAGCAATGCAGTGGAGAAGAGTGGGTTTTGTTCCATGTCAAAAAAGCACTTGTATACAAATGTAAGTAAAGTACATTTCATAGTTTTGATCTCCACTCCTTATCTGTCTCTTTCAACAACGGTCTCTGCAGCACAATGACAGCAGGAATCTGAAGAGCTCACTTGTCGAGTTTTACATCTTGTTGGAGCCTCTATGGCTGGTTTGGCTGTAGTTGAATGTTTTGTTAGCCTCTAAGTGGTTGTGATTGTGTGTGTGTGTTTAAAAATGAGCTAAAACTACACCGTGCATGCCTGACACGAAATTTACTAAGGCAGGGTGTTTAAAGTGACCAACAGGTTAGGGAACGAACCTCGTGACCGAAAGGTCGCTGGTTTGATCCCCAGAGCTGACAGTACATGACTGAGTTGCCCTTGAGCATGGCACCTAACCCCCAACTGCTCCCCAGGCGCTGTGGATAGGACGGCCCACCGCTCCGGGCAAGTGTGTTCACCGCCCCCTAGTGTGTGTGTTCACTAGTATGTATGTGGTGTTTCACTGCACGGATGGGTTAGATTGTGGCTGTTGGTAGTGGTGCATTTTTTATGACTATGAAATAATGAGCATAGTATTGGGCTAATACCCAATGCCAGTATCGGTATCAATGCATCCTTCATTATTATAACTGATAGTAAAAATTGCTGCAGTTTCATTGAGATCTTCAGATTGATACATCGCTCCATTTTAATAACTAATAACTATCTACAAAATACCAGAAGATGAAAGAGTTTTTATATACATCGCTATACATTCTAACGCCAACCTGGTTCTGCTCTAAATAGCATTCTTTGAAACAACATCAAGTTTTGAATTTCTTATGCAATCTGAGGTGCCCAATGGACTGTGAAAGAGGACAAAGGCTGCCCAATTTGCTAGTGTTTCAAAGGCAAAATTAGGATGGATTCTTTGAAAATATGTCTCAGGAAGGAGCAACAATAAAGTCTGACATGCAGTATAGCTGCTGAAAACAGCACACTCGCCTAATAAATTACCACAAACACGGATGGAAGCCTCCCTGACCGCATTACAACCGAGTCTGGGCATCATTAAGCTTCCCAAAGCTCATATTTATGATGGGACTGTCATTTGTAAACCACTTGTTAAAAACAGACTTGTGCACTGGGCATGAACTGTGAAGCAGAAAGGGAATAAGGGCTTTTTTGACAGCTTTTCTAGAAAATGGATGGATTCTCTAATGAGCTTTCACATTCATGTTGCTGTATGTAGTGAGAATACTGTTCTTCATGAATGATTTCACTACAAGTTCTGTTTATAACAAACATCTCAAGTACTAAATCTGTTGTAAAGACAAACGTTAGCACATACATTTATGGCTTTGCATATAATCATTTTGTGCATCATTTAAATATTTTTTTTTACCATAATTTAAATTGTACCCTATACTGTGAGGCACAGGCCACAAATACATTGAGTTATTTAATTTTTTTTTTATTAGAAAATCTATCTTGGCCATTTTTTCAAACACCTACGAAATATATGCACTTTAAAGGTTTATAGTTACTGACTGTAGCCTGTCTGATGCTGCACAGTTTGACAGGTCCCATACCAACTCATCAATGGAAAGGGACCACCACAGGACCACTGTTGATCAGTTATTATTTGGATGGTGGACCTTTCTCATCACAGTAGTGGCACTGAGAAGTTATTGGCATGGTAGTATGTGTGGCACTGGTACAAGTGTAACAAGAACCAGACATGAATTACTGACCAGGCTATCTGGACCAGTGCCTAGCTGCCTCTGAGTGCCAGGCCCTCAGAGGAACCACAATACCACAATGCTTGAGGGGGCTAAAATACCTAGGAGAGTCCACTGCAGATGTGAACATTAGCTTAATAAACAGCTCTTGAACTTGTACAAACAATTAAATAAATGGAATAAATGATGAAATGTTATCTGTTTTCAGGCCAATCAAGTTTCATCTTATTATCAACTCATGGGATTTTGTTGTTGCCATTCAAATGGGATGTTTTAGATGGTGTGCAATAGTTGCGGTTTACTTTTTCATGCCTTGATTTGGTTTGAAAGAGAATGAGAAAAAAAAAAATCATGCTTCAAATACACAAAAATCTTCACATCTTACAAAAAAACATAAACTGTTCTGTTGTGAACACAATATATCACAGTCTAATTTTCTTTGCTCATAAAACAAACAAAAAAAAAAACAAATTCCCATTTGCTTCTTTGTTTGTTTATGGATTACTGTTGGAGTGTGGAGGGGTGTATTCTGAATAAACAAACAAAGAAGACAGATTAAATGTTTAGACTAAAGTTAATTGGTGCAATGGCAGATGCTGTGGATTTGTTGCTTTTTACTCATTTAGCACACTTCAATGAAAGCAAATGATTGCATGCATATGAATGCATTCATATTTATCTTCAAACAAAATGTTTTAATCACAAAAATATGAACACTGCACAGTCCTGTTTAATCTGCAGCTAAACTAAGAGATGCTAGCTAAATGATCTTATTTTTCATCAGATGCTATATTAAAATGGATTTTAGGGAATACAGCAGCCCAGACTAACCTTAATTTATCTTAGAGGCTTTTTACAGGTCTGACATCAACCTGTAAATGGTCTTCCACACAGTTTCATCTTCAGGAATGAAATGGAAACGTCATCACATTTCCATTTCATTAGTAGGCAGTGATCGGTTAAGTGCTGTGTCGATCATTATTTCGCAAATCTAGTCAATTATGGTGTGCAAGGGGATGTTAATCTAGAACATGCAGTTCATCTGGTGGACCCTGGACTAGAGGATGACTAAGATAAACTGGCTATGAAAAAGGAAGAGCAGCAGTCTACAGCTATATACATACAAAATGCACCTACACAGTACCTGATAAAGTTCTGTGTAGATTATTATCTACACCAACCAGACACTTCATTAAGTTCACTTCCTTGTTTCTATACTCTTTGTCCATTTTATCAGCTCCACTTTCCATATAGGAGCACTTTATAGTTCTACAATTACAGACTGTAGTCCATCTGTTTCTCTGCATACTTTGTTAGCCCTTTTTCACTCTACAGTGTCACTGCAGTGCTGAAAATGATCTATCACCCAAATAATACCTGCTTTGTGAAGAACGGACTAAATAGAGGCTAATAAAGTATGCAGAGAAACAGATGGACTACAGTCTGTAATTGCAGAACTACAAAGTGCTCCTATATGGTATGTAAAGCTGAAAATGGACAATGACTGTAAAAACAAGGAGGTGTATTTAACGAAGTGGCCGGTTGGTGTATATCTGTGTGTATCAGAGTGCTTTGACCTGGGAAAGAAGATCAGCATTCCTCAGGATGTGATGATGGAGGAGCTGAAACTGCGCTCAAACAGAGGCTCCAGAATGTTCCAGGAGAGACAAAAGAGAGTGGAGAGGTTCACGCTGGAGAGTGTTGGGGGAAGATCCGAGCCTGTGAGTTAACGTCACAGCACTACGCACCATATCATTATTACATACACATTACCAGCACACTTTCAAACAACATGGACAGCTCATGCATTCAGCTTAATTATATGGCTCCTCACTGCCTTTTCTGCAAACTAATGCTGACAATTATAGCACTTAGAGCTGAATAACTTATATATATTTGCTTTTTCAGGCCATAGAGACTAGATTTGGCTGGTTCCATTATATACAGTGCCAGTCAAAACTCTGGATGGACCTGATTGAATGTATCTTAATGACATTAAAGAATGGATACATACATACACACCCCTTATCAAGTAGGTTTAGTGGCCAACAAGGTCTCAGCAAAATGTTGTGGTCCAAAGATAAACATGTGTCTCCAACATGGCAACTTTCCCAGCTAGAAATGTTTGTTCTAAAAACGTTCTGAGAATATTACACACATGTTCTATTAATTATATTAATATTAATATAATAATTAAATCATATTTCACCGGAACGTTCCTGATGATATCCTTAAAACATGCTGCAAATGTTGCAGTTAAAACATATAACATATATGTAGCCTTATAGGCACATTATTTGAAATGCTAAGAGATTTTATTTCAAGCAATTGTGGAGCATTTCTGTTGGTCCATTTATCGAATTGTAAAGGGCAGCTGATTTTTTTTTTTTTAATTATGTTAAAAAATTAACAAATATAGGCCTTTTTTTGGACAGTGACGATGTGTGTATCTTCAGTCCTGTTGAAGATATATGATTTAAAAAATGTAAGATTTTGATTCATCACTTTTTCAGTCACAACATAATTGTATTTGTTTTGTCTTGACTATTATTCTAAAATGTGTAAAACAGAACAATAGCAGGCATAGCAGTATGGAGATGATGGTATAGTAGTATGGAGATGACCTCAGCAGAAAATGCTGGATCGGCTATCAGAGAGACAAAAAAAATTAATCTGATCCAATTCTGTTACAAATCAATCCTGAAAAGAAAATCAGATCTGTATCAGCCGATACTCGCAGTTTCAATATCGGTATCAGAAAAGAAAAAGTGGTACTGCCCCATCCCTATAAATAAGGAAACCCCCTTCTATAAGAGTGACCAAACTTTTGGTCTGTCTATGATTGTCAATACAGAATGTGCAGAGGTTGTAACGAACAAAACGTACTGTACAATGTACTTGTGGCCTTTTTTTAACCTCTTCCCTCTTTGCAGCTCTTACATGAGGAGACAGAGGTCCAGCAGACCGATACCAACCCACCCGAGACACCCAAAAAAGGAAATCCAAATGTTCTTGCACCAGGTGACTAATGTCAGTCTGTTCATGTCATGTAATAGCAAGAAACACTATATGAGCAAGAAGAGAAGCATGCAGCGTAGCAGTTACCACTTTTCTGAGGGTTCACTGCAAATGCTTTGTAGATGCTTCTCTTGTCTATAACATACATACTACATCCATACATACAACTAAATATCTGCTGAATTCAACTTTTCACCAATCTTAACACTCACTCTAACCCTAACGCTGTTTGTGATCAACCGAGTTCCAGCAGACAGTATTGGTAACATTAGCATTTGGAATTAAAACATAAATATAGTGTAGCTGCTTACTCAGCAACAACCACCTACTATGCTAATCCATCTCTCTCAGGTTATTCTGGGCCCCTCAAAGAGGTTCCTCATGAGAAGTTCAATGTTACAATCGTCCCCAAGTCCTACTGCTCTCCCTGGGAAGAACCAAATGACAGTGTGGCACTGCTAGCAAGCATTAATGCCAACCTGCCGGAGCCTCCCCAGAAACTCACCTCTGCCAGCTACAAATGCTTCAACAGGTAGTTCACCACCCTATAAGTCACTAGAGAGTAATAACAGGCTGAAGAGATTCAGAAACTGAATCTTTTTGGGATCGACTCCCGGCCCTAGACAGCTAAAACAGTAATAACAACTGTCTAGAAGCCTGCATTTAGTCCACAAGTTTGTTTTATAGATAACAATGTGTCAGACACTACCTAAACAAGTCTGTTTGATAATACTGAAGAACTCCGAATGCTTTGAGGTATTTGTGTGGGGATTAGGCATGAAGCTTCCATAACAGGTTAGCCACATCAGCCTCATAGCTGCAGTGCAAAACTAAAGAAGGAGACTTTAGACACCAAACATGTCCTGGCAGAACATGTGCAACCTGGGTAAGGGGTAAATCAAAGATATTTTAGTAATTCTAGTATGTAAAGACCAAAAAAGTCAGACCATTCAGTGGGAACACGTTTTAAGTGTGAGAGGGACAAATGATTTAAAGGTGCGGTGTGTAAGATTTAGTGGCATCTAACGGTGAGGTTGCAGATTACAACCACCTGAATACCCCTCCCTCACCCCTCCCTTTCCAAGCATGTAGTAGAACCTACGGTGGCCAAAACTGAAGGCAGCACATTGGCGCTGACACAGGGGATTGTGGGATATGTAAGGCAGTGAAAGAAACAGCCTCAGCAGGCAGCATGTTATACAAACAGTTGATTCGGACGTGACTGTGTGCTTTCCTGCCTCAGAATACTGTACGAGTAGGCAACGCTTGCTACGTTTCAGCACAGCTGATGGTTTACCCTCCCTTACTTTTGCCTGTGCTAAATAACAAGTGTAATCCTCTATTTTTCAAAATTTTGGTTCTTAAACTTCTCGCAACACAAAATGGTTAGCCAGCACTGCCAGCAACCGCTGATTTTCTTGATCTTCTTTCTATGCCTTCCGACTGGTGCAATGGAGGCAAATTAAAGTTTATGTTAAAGCGGCAAAGCACAAAAAGCACTCTCTAGAGCCAGGGTTTGATTTGTCTGTTCTAGGCTGCTGTAAAAACATGGCGGCACAACATAGCAGCCTTTGTTGGAAGAGAACAGGCTCCCTATGTAGATATGATGGGCTCATTTTAAGCATGAAAAAACTATTTGTAGTTACAGGTGATTATACACCAATGAAAATATGGCTTGTATACTACATTACATTTCTGCTAATAGATCCCCCTAAATCTTACACACTGCGCCTTTAATGTGATTGGCGAAGGTAAAATTTATGCAATCTGTACCCAAGATTCGGACCTAGTTTACATCAAAAATGGAGAAAACAGTGAAGTACGCTACTGTTCAAAAGTTTGGAATCACTTGTCATAATTTTTATTTTATATGCAATAATAACATATACCATGTGGGTTTAAATTTTCCAAATTAAAAAAGTTTTAGTTGTTCATCTTTTAATATTTTAAGAATTATGTTGTTATTAAAGGATAAATAATACACAGTATTTATTTATAAATCTTCATTTTTTTGTCAAATTAACTGTTGAAATGTAATGAATTCTGGATATTAATTTTACTGTAACTCCCTTCTCAATGCTGTACAGCTTTATCAGTCAATTGACAATCACTATTACAAAACATAATTGAAAACTTATTACAATGGGTTTGAAACATGGCATTTACATATTATTCCTAAGACCTAGTTTGTACTCTTTGTGCCTACATATAGTCTAATTACAAGAACAGGATGTTACAAAACATTTGCACACATAGACTTGATCTTAAAACAACTGCATGTGAAAATGTATAAGATATGACTTCAAATGTGAAGTTTTCAATCTGACAACGTGCAGTGGCAATGTCAATGGGCTACAGTCATCACAGCGTGTGGTTCGTGAACACTGTTTTTATAAACCATTTGAATGCAATATTAAGAACATATCGTAAGAAGAAATTTAGAATGAAATTCAGGTACATTTTAGAAGTAACACACTATATGCCTTATGAGCCAGGCAATGTTTCAATTTCTCTGAATGCTTACTAGCATATTCTTTCCAATATACAAAGCAAGTCCTGTAAATGGGCAAATGAAATGTAAACAAAAATCATTTTAGTGGGAAACTGAATAAAGAAATGGCTTTTAGACATTGCTTTAGACATCATTTCACCTGACTACACCACTATCAGAATCACAGATGTAGGTTTCCTGGTGCTTTAATAGACACAAACACTAACCAGCATTCCTCGTTTTGACAGAGCTCCTATGCCTTTTGAAGGGACAGCAGGTAGTATGAGGATGCTGCCTCTGCCTGGCTTTGAGATGATGCAGACTTTCACAGAGCCCAAGCTCACCTGGGAGAGAGTGTGTGACCGACCCAACTTCAATCGCGTACCTGCAGGATGGAAAGCTCTATGCGAGACAGCCGATCTCTAAAAACTGCCCTAGAGAAGAGCTGTTGAGAATGTTTGCACACGTTGGGTGCTGACCCATCACGTGGACATGAGATTCTGCAGACTTCATCCGTTTGCATATGTATGGAATGGAATCACATCAATTGCAATCTGAGCCAATGGGCACTAAGCAATGCCTGCTAATTAAAGTTTACATGTGTGGTTTCAATACAGCTGATTCACTTTTTTCAAGCAATGTTTATAGAATTGCAAATTTCGAACTTCAGCATAATATGAGAAGCCAAATTTAATTGACCACCAAATCTTACAGAATAACCTTTCCAAAGAAACTTGAATATTTAATACTGTCCATTTCCACTAAGGTGACAAATGCATTCTAAAACATGGAATGGAAAGGTTATGGAAAGGTGATCCTCATTCATACTTACATTGGTCACTGAGTGCTGAGAACAGAAGCCTATAGACTGCTAGCGTGGTCAACAGTGGCCCCATGTGGAATTTATTGGTCATTGCAACCAACTCTTAGCTTTTTAAACAAGACTGTATAAAAAGCATGATACACATGTCATTAAAAAAAACATACAAATTCAGAATTACCCTTTCTACATACCAAAGCTCTCTAAACAGACTAATAAAAGGTAACAAAGGTAGACATGAGTGAAAACTTTAAAAAGGTCCAAATATAAAAAGCAACAAAAACGGGAAAACAAGCTTCCAGACTTTTAAAATTCTAAATTAATTATTATTTTAAGCTAGTTATGTTTCATTACATATTTGCATGAAGTCTAGAACAGTGTCAACAAGTCCATAAAAGGTTAAAGATATAAAAGGACTTTAAAAATGAGGACCGAGGCAGAAAGGCAGAGCACACATCAGTGAGGTAGTTTCCAGATCGTCTAGGAGCCTCCATGGCGACCAGCATGGGCACCCATGCGCTGAGGATCCTGGGAAGGGTAGTGCACCTGGCCAGGAGGTCTCATGCCCATGGGAGGAGGCATAGGAGGAACAATGCCATCCATGGAGTGGTACATAGGGGGACCAAAACCTGCAGCGCAGCAAGGAAGTCAATCAACACAGGGAATTCACATTTTATAATATAATGGACTGGAATATTCTTATGTTCAGCCTGACCAATGTGAAAATTTGGTTGCAGATGTTGATATCGATTTTAAGGAGCTGAAGATTCCGAAATCTACTCAGAGGGTTATCAGTCAACGTTATCTTATACAGTCACAAATTAAACAGAGTAGATCGTTTTATTGCTTTACTGATCTGTCAACTTACTGTTCTGTTGTTTAACATCTGAACAAGTCTAAAAAAATAGTATAAATATAATGGAACCACTTATCGCTTCTCGTTTTTTTTTTGTTTCCTCAATTCTAAAACAAGCCCCAGCAGATTAGGGCTTAATAATTAGTTAATAATTAGGATCAGGCGTAGTTGATGAGGGAGAACACAAAAATTAGCACAAAGTGGGGTCCCCAGGACTGACACTGGGAACCACTGAAATCATGAACTCATGGTAGCAATATGACATAAATATACATCACAACACTTCAGTTTTAAGGGTACACTATATGCATTTTCTGCATTTTCCATATGCATGAGGTTTAATTAGACAAAAAAACAAGTAATGCAACATTTCAACACAATCAAAAAAAAGAGCACAATGATTTTTATTCATCATTTCCAATCAAATAAGGACTAATTATGATCATTTTGTAATGATACATCCATGTTTTGTTTCACTATAGGTGAATTCCACTGATTTTTCATAATTTCTGTGTCATTCAATTGTTCAAATGAAAGCAAAGTCATTCACAGTGGTTACATGTGAAATGTGCCATCCTAGAGAAACCTAGGAACTAGCCATGTGAAGAGTTTAAAACCTCTAAAAGTGCCCTCAAAGAAAGTTATTACATTAAATGATTATAAATGAATATGCTGCTTAACACTGGAGACTGTTTTATGATAGTACCCAAAATACTACCCAAATGAAACTTTTTTTCCTGATTTACCACTATTTTACCATATCAACATCACATAAACGTTTAAGAAGACATGCTCAGATCGACTGGTTGTTATGGATAGTACATCAAATGGCTGTATTTGCATTGTAGAAATTGCAACCCATGATTCCCATCACCACCACTGAAAATAAGTCGGTAAGTTTCGACACATTTCACATAAAAACACTTTATATGTCAATGACTATATTATGCAGGAAATTTGAAAAATCAGTGGAATTCCCCTGATGATGTGCTCAGACAAGCATATTGTGATGTCATTTATTACAATAATTATAAATATTGTCATTTTGCCCAGCCCTAAATGAGAGGGGGACATAGAAATAACATGAACTCTCACAATTCTGAACAGTATGTTTGGTAGTTCAAAAGAATATCACATTTCTGATTGTGGTTTTCTTACATAAGAAAAGAGACATTATTTCTCCTTTATCAGTGGGAATTTCAACAATGCCCTTAAATCTGTGGCACAAACAATGTATTGGTTGGTCCTTATTCTAAAGCCAGAGAAACACATACCTGGAGGTGGAGGCATGGCTACGCCAGGTGGAGGAGGGATTCCTAAATTAATGACTGCAGGAGCACTGTTAGGGCCCAAGTTGAAATAGTTGGCAGGCGTATCGTCATCAGACACGGGGGGCGGAGGCAGTGCTGTTGAAAAGATCACTGAGTTACATACCTGAGGCATATAGCACAGTACAAGGAGACTTTTTGAAGGATTAACATCAAGGTATTACATGATAAATTTGGTGTGGCCTATATACCTCCATCCTAGCTTCCTGAAAAGACTGGTTATTTTAGAAAACTAGTATCATCTAAACCAGTGTCTACACTGACTGACACCGTACGTTTATAATAATAAAAGAAAAAAAGAATTTACTGGCATTGTCCTAGGTTTTCACAGTAGCAACAAAATCCCCTTTATCATTCCTTGCCTTATGTACATATAGGGAACATAATAATCCTTTTAAGAGTCACTGAGTTTGTGTTTGAATGGGTGCCCAGAAACAGGCTCCACAGCTCCTTACCTCCTGGGAGGCCTGGCACAGGCTCCAGTCTCATTCCACTCTCAGTCACGCCGTCCTTCTCTCTCTCCCTCCCTCGTGCTGCCTGGGACCTGTTCCACACAACAGCAACATAGACTTATTCTTAAAGATATCTAAGCACAGAAAAACAAGTCCATCAGTTACACTGGTATAGTCAACAATATTATCAACACAAATGCCATGTATTTACTGTCCATCACAACAGATTTAGCAAATATAGATTAGAGAGAGTGTGTACATACACACACACACACACACGTACACACACACGCACGCACACACGCACGCACACACGCACGCACGCACACTTCTTTCCCCAAAAAGGTTAGTTTCTGAACTTTCATGTTACATAATAATAGAATTTTTAAGTCATTGTTCACAAAAAATGCAATTATAAATCACTTTAAAGGGCTGGTGACCACTTCACTAAAGAGTATTCATCATTAAAAATTCGATTTAGTCTAACCACAATGAACTGAATGCAATAGGTCAGTAAGATAAAATACAGTATTTAAAAGCTTAAAGTGGTTTATTTAAATTTCAGAAACTTCAAGCTTTCAAACACTGTATTGTATCTTACTGACTGTTAGGTATTGCATTCAGTTAATTGCACTGCATTCTGTTCGATTTTAGGGTGATGACATCCTTCCAAGACTGGTTGCCACAATTTTTCTGAAACCCCTGATTGGAGAAAGAAAAATCAAGACCACCTGAAGCTGAATGGTTGAAACAGTTCTTCATACAGTGGGAGTAAACTGTTCAGAATTTTCCTCACTGTGCTCGTTCACTTCTTACCTGCCCCATTTGACATTGAGGCGTCGGCCATGGATGATAAGCTTGTTGAAGGATTTCTCTGCAGCCATTTCTGCAGCCTGACGCGTGGCAAACTGGATGAAGGCGCACTGCTGCCTCTGCACTACGGTGATGGTGCGGATCTCCCCAAACTGGTAGAAATGGTTCCTGTGAACAGGCAAGCAGGGTATTCTCAGTCACTATTTAATGACTGAATTAAGAGAGTAGTTACATTACACTGTTCCTCTTATGTTAAAGTGCACTCACCTGAGCTCTGAATCTGTAATGGTATCTCCTAGTCCTCCAATATAAAGTGTGGTGATGGTTTTGTCCTCAGGTGGGTCCAGTCTAGGCATGGTGGAAGCTCGCTTCAAAAGCTTATCAGCCACAGGGTCATTAATGCCATAGTAACGGTCCTTTATGTTTTGGTCAGCCAGTGGGTCATCTGGATCAGTGGGCTTCTCGTGCCTACAGAACCACCAACAACCTCACTCAATACAGTGGTAATACATAACACATAGATGTAATAGACCACTATACAAAGCCAAACACAACTGATGAAAAAATAACCACACCTACTCATCCTACTCATACAAATGTTCAAAAGCTCCGAAAACACACTGTCTCAGGGTTATTACTAAAAGCAGGTCTAATGATGACCACTACTCAAGTCATAACTATGGGTCTAGTGCTTTAGCTCACCTGTAGGGGCACTCCTCTCCTCTACGGCACTCTCCCTTCACCCAGAAAGAGCAGATGTGAGGTCTGTTCCTCTTGTAATAAGGTGTGGTGCGCGCTAACTTCAGCAGCATGTCACTGGCCCCAGGGGCCTTCCCCAGAGCACCCACAGGCCGAGTGCCATCAGAATTAGCAATCTGGGAAGAAGACAGAAATGATGTGATGCAATGTTGTATAGTAAAATGACTATGGTCAAATACAGAGATGTCTCTGCTCAAAAGTGCTAAGATTGCCCAAACGTATTATGCAGTATGAACAGTTTTTTTTTTCTCATTATCAAGCAGAAGGTCAGAAGGAAGATTGCGTTTAACTAATGTTTCTCAATAAAAATAACAACAACAACAACAACAACAGCAACAACAGCAATAACCAACAGTATAAACACCTCTCTCTCCATGTTCTGGGTGTAGTACTCTTTGTTCACGTCTGATTTTGGCACATCATCTTTGACGGATATCCCTGTGTCTCTGACCTGAATAGGTAAACCTATGGAAAAGAAAGAAAACAGAAAAAGCAGGTGCCTTTTTAAAGGAATAAGCAAACAGGAGAGCAGCTTGAATGGGTTAATGTTTCTATTCCAGTAGGAGTTTTGATTTCCAAAATGTCTTTTAGATATTACGGAATGTACACTAGCATGACAGTGATTGTAAATAAGTGTATACCACAAGCAAATGTCAACTGTAGATCAGCTAAACTGGTCTGTTATAAAAGAAGCCTGTTTATTACCATACTCCAGATCCAGCAGGCAGGTCTGACACACATTCTTCATCTTACTGCATGTCTGACACACCTCGGTCTTCTTAAAGCGCATCCTGACCCCTGGGCACCAGCGGAACACAGTGAAGGGACGTGCACAGATCTGAAACAGAACAGGTGAAAATACTAAAAAAAAGCTGTGCGCGAGCTTGGGAATGTTCTGATAAACAGTAACTACAGCTTAGCTTAGAAGAGCTAAGAATGGAAAACAATTCAATTACATAAGTGATATGCAATTTATAACCTTACCTTGCACTCTTTGCCATACTTCTCTTTGGTCTATTTAGAACAATAAAACAAAGACACACACAGTGAGGTGATGCTATTTCATCATGAGGTGATTACCACCTAAATAAAATAAAATGCATTACTATCATTATTATTATTATTAGTAGACGTAGTAGTATTATTATACTATCTTCTGCCCATGCAGAATGCTTGTAAGCTAAATGGCATCTAACCTGAGATTAAATTAAAAAATAAATAAATAAAATGTCTAAAATCAATAAAAACTTCTGGATATAAAATTACCATTCTGCAGTTTGTTCAGCCCTAATAATCCCAAGATCCCATAGTTCCTCCTATTGATCCTCTATGATGTATGCTACAGCGACTCAAAATATAATCAATATTCAGAGCATCCTCAAGGGAGATTTAATGACAACCCTACTGGCATAATGTATACTGTGCAGGAAGTAATGACCAATGCAAATTTATTAGGTCAATATTTAAACTTGGACCCAGTTCACACCTGATCATTTAATTTGTCTGGACTGATAAGATCTGATAAGCTTTTAACCATATGCATTTACATTACAGATGAGTAAAATATCAAGATCACAACTGAAAGATCCGCCAATGTATTGTTATTTTGGAATAACTGTTTTGCAGTTTCATGACTTAAGTAATGTGAGTCAGGTAAGTGCATTCACACTGAATTTGAATGTTGCAGCTACACATTTACCAAAAGCTGTAGCACAATTATGCTCATCGTGGTAAACAGCAAATTGCCTCTTACGATATAGCATCTTATTAGAAACAAGTTATTACTAAAATTATTATTATTGAAAATCGGCCATTAGTCAATTTGGCTGTAAAGAAATCAGAACTGGCCTTAAAGAAAATTCAAGATTGGTGCATCCCTTATTTGGTAATCAAAGGCATCTGAGATCTGATTGGTGACTAATATGTAAATCAGCTTATATACAATAACAAAATCACCTGTGCTGTTCCTCATGCTTTCTATGACCTTCTTGTTTGATTGATTGGTGCTTTATTTTAACTAGTTAGAGCCTTTGAAAAAGAAATGCACATCACGAGCAGAACTGAAGGAGCAGCGATGCCTCTGTTTATTGGTGGCAGTCCAGAGGGCATATTTCATCCACATGCAGAACAACAGAGGAAGGTGCCATCACAGTAATTAAGAGAGGTTTTGGTTGTCGAATGTGGCTTGGAGAGACAGATGCATTTATACTTGTCTAACACCTGGCTAAATTGCATATCAGATTTAAACCTTGATATTCAAGACACATCACATGACAATGTGTAAACATGGCCTTAAACACTCCAGACTTACCATTCGAATGTAAGGATTCTCACCCAAACATGTTTGACAGAGAATAGGGAAGTCCTGTTTCAGCAAAGAAAAACGAGAGTTAACAGTCATGATATTTAAAATAAATTAATAAAAATAAAAGTAAGAATAAAAGTAATACTAAGTAACCTAAACTATTTGTATAAACAATATATGAATTTATGATTGTCAAGCTAATATAACACACAGGGTGACTGGAGACCAGTTTTTTAGACATTATCAGTAATGAAACAGCTCAGTGTGGCACTGAGAAACATTTTTGTTTTCGTGTGCAATCTGCAGAGACAGATCTGCAGAAGTTAGATGCCTCCAATTTTACATTATTCCTCAAGTAGCCGATTTCAGTCACTGACTGCTAATACACTATATGTCTGGGAGTTTGTAGACACCAAAATCAAAGCTATTAATAGTCAGTTTGTCTGTCTTTACTGCAGTCTTTGCTCAACTTTTCTGGGAAGACTTTACACTAGATGTTGGAACATTCCTGTGATGTTTCAAGGGAATTTGATTGCATTCAGCCACAAGAGGGGTCACAAACCCCTCTCCAAATCCCAAACGTATTGGATGGAGCTCCATCACTCCAGAGAACGCAGGCTCATGTGCAGCTGCTCCAGAGCATCTCGTTCTATTGGCAATGTTTTCCATGGAGATAATACAAGCTGTGTGTGCGCAACTAAACTCTTGTGTCAGTAACGGGGTAGTTGCATCTTAAAGTAGCTGGAAATAAAATAGAAATATTGTGTCTCACTGTTATGAAAAGTGTCATTGTGCGTTTCCTTGGTAACTTTATAGCTCATTTACTCGCCGACTGGCTCAATGCCCACTCTGCTAAATAAACTAACCCCATACAGTACGCTTTATAAACAGATTTCAATGCACTGATTGGTATTATATTATATACCATTATATTATATTATATTATATTATGGTATTATAAGTTGTTTTCTTTTCCAGCTCCGTAGCTAGAGAAGCTAATACGTTAGCACCGTTAGCGCAGTGGCTAACGAATACCCGCAGCAGACTAGCTAACCGAGACAGACAGAGCTACGGAGAAATGTTCCGTCCACTAGTGTATATTTCTGAAACTGTTAACCTACAACAACCGGAATATTATAGCTACGTGAAACTAAACGTTTTATACTCACCGAGTCCTCCCAGTTCTGTCTGTTGTACGTGTTGGCCCCTAAGGATGTCGCCATTTTCAGATAGTTAACGTAGAGCGAGTGGAAACAGAAATGCTCTTGTTCTTCAGTCGTAGCTGGTATGAGGGCTTAAAATTTCGCCGCCTACTGTATGGGAGTACTAAAACTAAGCCCAAAATCTGTTTAGCAGTGTTGTTTTTCTTACTGACACTGCCATTACTAATAGAATTATCTAAAAATACAAAATAGAAATTGGGGCGTACTTTGCATTTTGTTGCCGTATGGCAACAATGTGCGACGGAGGAACTGCAATCTGGCAAGAAAATAACAATGTGGCTAACAGTCAAACAGGCGGAAATGTAGTAAGAATCCAGAAAAGTATTTAAATAATTATATTGCTTGGCAAAAATTGACATAATTGAACATAAAAAATCTCATGGTGGTGTATTGGTTGACTCCCACTGTGTGCACTGTAGATTATTACATTGTCACATTGTTCATTTTTGTTTCAGTTGTTTCTTGAAGTTGTCGTGTGTAAATGTTGAATTATACACAAAATTGATGAGGCTTCATAAGCCAGGCCTCACCATGTGATGAAAGTGTGAAAAAATATGTACATACTGCAAAAGGAAGGCATGCGATTAAAAAAATGGATAGCATTTTACACATAAAGCCTTCAGTTGCCAAAGGAAAAATTTATATTGTATTTAGACAGAAAAATAATAATAATAAAAGAAAGTACTTGCAGTAAAGGGTTAAAGAAAACAGTATTGAGCTTTATGTGAGGATCAATACTCAAAAAGAAGGAAATATCGACACTTTGCTATCGATCCGCCCACCCCTAAAAAGTTAAATTAAACCGTATTGAGTGTAGTGGTGATCTCATCTTACGCCATTGCATTAAATTCAAAGCACACAGCAGTTTAACGATATATGACAGAATTCAGGGTGGACTGTGTAAAATCTATTGCTGCACAAGAGATTAAATGTTCTCATTCATTTCACATCCATTTATCTGCATTGCCTCAGGAAGAGCCAGGCTGAATTTCAGCGATTAGGAATCATCACTAATGGAGACGTAAGCCTGACTTAGAGTGTACTTTATGTTATGATCAGTGGGCAGATGTATTGGGGGAGGAGGAGCTGAAGAGTCATCCACTTAAAGCAACAAAAACGTTTTGCTTCCTTTTAGACAAAATGAATTTTTCCCATGGCATTTTCCATTTTTAAGGAAACCATTCTGCAACATGTGTTGCACATTGTTAAAATGAAATAATAATCAGTCTTAAAAATGATGATCAAGGTGAAATTAATACTCACAACTGGACAACCATTAAAGACATAAAAGGTTATAAAACACACATTCTTTAAGTTAGAACTGAACCTGAACATGGCCCCATGGTTTAAGTGCACTGATGGTCTTTCAGAAGAGCATTAGCTCGATGAGCAACCACAAACAACAAATGAGTTTAAAGCATGACTACTTTGCACTACTTTGTCAGCAACGCACATCACTGCACATCAAAACTAGTAATACTCCAGAAATTTTTATAACGTAATATTAAGGATTATTACAGAAATACTATACAGCACTAAAGAATTTGTATAGTTTCCTGTATTACAGATATTTTTGTTCCTTGGTGCAGTTTTGTGGTCTAATTACAAAAGGCCTCCAATTATTAAATATTCCAAAATGTTAATATGTTAAAATGTCTTGACACAAAAATAAAGGTGTAAAAGTATTGGTTCTTGCGTTCTCTTTTGATAATACACTGCAGCAGTCATCCAATATCTTTTCAAGCACAAAAACCTTTGAGTAACAGGATACGTCCAATGTGGTTTGTTTTAGAGGTTAGGTCAGTGATCAGATTTCTGCAGCTGTAAAGCTGTGTAAGGGTGAAGAGGTCAGTAAGCTCTATAGTGAGAAAAGATGGGCTCTTTGAGACAGCACAGTTGAATTGACATACTTTGGGTTAATATACATCTGTCCAGTTTAAATATGAATCAGACTAAAGGGAGAAAGAGTTGTCTAAGTGTTTGAATTAGCGAATTCAGCTACTTTATGCTTGTTGTGATTCAGAACAGATTATTGAACATCAGTACATGACCTCACCAATGCTCTTGTGGCTGAATGCAGTAAAAGGGGGGGGGGTCTCCCAATTGACACCCTTGATTTCAGAAGAAATGTTGGATGAGCAGGTGTCTACAAACTCTAGGACATATAGAGTAACTTGGGGAAGAAGCTCCTTCATGGTCAGATGCTCCTTCATGGTCAGATCAAATGATAGAGCCAAACTTAATCTAAACACATTTACTGAACAGTTATGGTCTAATTAATGGTCTAATTATATTATATAGGTGCGTTTAGATTAAGGTGTGCAATATACATTGTTAAAAATAAATGATTATGCATTTACCAGTTAAATGCTGAATGATATTTTGTTATTGCTATTATTGTTAATATAATAATATTAACAATAACAACAATAATCATAATAATTGTAATGAATTTTCATATCACTATGTAATAATATAATAACAATGACAAATTGATGTACAAAACTGACATTCCAAGTGTTTCCATTTTGCTATCATGTGTTTTTGTCATAGCTTACTAAACTGAAGTCATCATTAACACAGACTAGAAATGTATGTTCTGTGAAACACTGATAACAAATTGATGCTAGATTCATTGGGGGCTTCTTACCCCTGGTAGAGGTAATATCAGATTTATTTATCAAGGTTTTTGTGTTTTAAAATAAACTTGACTGCTGTTCCTGCTTATTTGGGGAAATAAGCAGGAACAGAGGTCAGTTTATTTTATAACACAAAAAAACTGTGTGAAGGTTTTTGCATCATTATTGTGTACATGCTAAAGTCATGCAAGTATGGTTTAGCCTTAAAATAAATTAACACTGTTCTTAAAGTTGGGGCATTTTCCTCCCATTACCCCATAGTGTATCAATAAAGATGAGTGTCATCCACAACGCGCAAAATGTTGGGTGTTGTTGGGTTGAGAAAAGTAGGATTGTAACAGAAACACTATTGTTAATTCATAACCCTGTTCCATTTTGGCACATATACAATCAAGTTCTGGCAAGATTCTCAAGACATGTAACAACAATATTTCAACCGATTTATCTTTACGTTTTAAAAAAATGTATTGTTTGGATTCCATCATAATTGCAAGAATCAATTCTACCTTAATTAATTAATTTACTGATTTTTCAAGCACTGTTTTATGGCAATTTAATTTTTTTGTTCTATATTTAATATTCACAACTGCAAATTTAGTGACAAGCTTGTTACTAAATTTGCATTAGTGAATATAGAATTTAACAAGAAAAATAAAAAAAGCAGGAAAAAAAGCAAGAAAAAAAATGAATTGCCTTAAAATAGTGTTTGGGTTTTCAAACGCTAGAGAGGCCTCTCAGAAAAGGCTTCTCTCAGTCTCTGTCTTGGAATTCAAACACTATTTTATGGCAATTAAAAATTCAAAGAACGAAAAGGCTATAAAAACTATTTCTATCCATAATACATATCTAACTTGTCCTCTACCCCATTGAAAAACGTTTTCTATTTTATCCTTGTCCTTATGTCCTCATGCTTCTCTGCATTGATGTGGTTATTACCCAATTTAAAAAACCTACTGCTAATTCACTTAGTGCTGCTGACTGGAGAGTAAACTGTCGCCCTCTAGCGCCTCGCCAGCGCAGTGCAGCTCTTCCCCTCTGGTGGAGTTTGTAACGGTGAGCTGGAGCTGAGAGAGGGAGAGAGGGAGAAGACTTATCTCTGGGTCTGCCAGCAGGAAAGCCTCTCCACATTTAAACCGGGACGCCCCACTTCTGCTGGAGTCGGAGGAGACGCAAGCGCACAAATGCAGCTCTAATATCATTCATTTCCCCAGACTGACTGGATATATTCAAGGCATTGCATCCAACTGCTTCTGACAAAGACAGTGAATGGGTGAGCACAACGGTCTTTATGTTTTTTGGGTTTTGATTGAATAGCTGTGTAGCTGCTTCGCTAGCAGGCATACGAGCAACAACCCGATTCTGTGGGAAACGTTAGCAGTCCGTTATGTTGCGTGTAGCATTTCTGGCTAACTGGCTGCTTTAACAAATGCCAGTGCTGGCTGTGGCTCTGGCTCTGATGAATCCCTCATCAAACCTAGCTAGCCTGCTAGCTAGACTGCCTTCGTGAAGGAATGAGGAGAGAACAATGTGGAAATCTGCTCATAGTCTAATCTAACTGAGGACCTCAGGACCGGCTAACTTAACACTGCCGACCTCCTGTTTGGTGCTGCATAGTTAGGCAGCTGTCTGGCTTCAGCTTTGAAGAACTGTAAGCAGCTAATGTCAACTAAATCGCTAGCTTAGCTGGAAAGGAAAGTGTAGCTCTTCCAATCATCAGCTGTGTAGCTCTGGATTTAAGTTACTTTTTGTTTGTTCGGCTAACTGTCTAGCTTCTGTAAGTCTGTTTAAAAAGGGCTGGTTACTCAGCTAGCTAGCTAGCTAACTCCCTCTATGTTATTCAAACACCTACTTTACACCAGCGTTAAGTAAAAGCTAAGAGCTGCCAGAAACCATTACCTTTACAATGGGTCAGACACGGCAGGTTTAGCATACGAGCTAGCTGCCCTGTTCAAACTTTGGTGTGTTAGGTTAGTAACCGTCGAGTTTTATGCTTCAGCTAGCCCACATTAACTAGGCAGCAAGTTAGCAAGGTAAATTAGCCCCTAATCTCTCGCTAAAGCACGGACGTTATAAAGACACCTTAACTAAGCTCATTCTTTTGGCAGTCTTTCAGTGAGCTTGATGTGTCTAAATGTGTTTCACGACTGGCTGAAGTGTCTTGTTAGAAGTTAACTGTTACTTAACGTTATGTGATCGTCCTCTGTGTTGTGTCCTCACTGACTTTGCCTTGTTGATGTAAAACTAACCGATTTAACAATATTACATAATTAAAGTTGTTTGTTAAAGGGGAATTTACCAGATTTTTCAAAATGTCTGCATAATTCAGCCAGCCAGGCATAAGCAAAGTCATACAGAGTGTTGTGATGTGAAATAGTTAATTGTAAAGAAACTTAAACACTCATATTTCTTTACAGTGGTGGTGATAGGAACCAGGGGTCACAATGTCTAAAACACATATATATCCATTTTGTTTGCTTTCCAAAATTAACTGTGAACATACATGTGTCATTTTAGTTTTGTACATACTGCTGATAATGATAAAATAGTGGTCAATCTGAAAAAAGGGTCCTGTTTAGCCTTTTTTTCTTCCGACTTTGCCTTAAAATGCCTCTCCACCCTGAATGGTTTGCTTTGAAAAAAAAACTTGTTTTAGGCCAAAACTTCACCTCAAAACATTGTCCTGGGCAACATATTAGTAACCGTTCAATGTAAAAGCTGTAGCTTTAAGAGGCATTAATATTTATTAAGATGCCATCTGGTTCCTAACACCACCACTGTGATCAGTTCTGACTCTGAGAATTTCTATAGAATGGAGCATTTCACAGCAAACCACTCTGAAAGGCTTTATTTACGTCTAAACAATTTAATCATGCAGGAATTTTGGAAATTTTGTTGGATTCCCCTTAAATGAATGAGCTTATAAATGTGTGTCTATGGGCTGTTCTGTGGAGGGTGTGGACCATTTTCAGGTATATTTTCTTTAGTTGCCGTCACTGCTGTGGTGCAGCTGTTTTGGAAAAGCTGCCCTACAAAGGTGTAGCCCAGCTCTGTATGTGTTGTTGGTTGCTTGAGGGGATTACATAGGTAACAAGAAACCTCATAACTCTTTTACAAGCGCTGCAAATGTGTTGTCATCCTGATGTTTGAAATGACTGTGCTCTAAACCTGAGAAAGGACTGCCACATTGGCTGGTGCACCACATGTATCAGATGTGGGTGTGATGTATCAGATAATCTGTCTTTGTGGCTTGGAGATATAGGTGTAGGTCTATCTCATTATGCTAACAGGTTTTTTTTTGCTTTTATGCTTACATGACATAATGCTTATATAGCCAGGCTTGGTTCTGGAATAAGCCTAAGCTGCATTATAAGCCAAACAGTAAAGTGCTGATAAAGTAAGGAGAGTCTTAAGGCGTCTTATGAAGATTATTAGATAGACTAAGCACCTTTTGAAGAAGTCCAGCTAGAAGAGGCCTCAAAAACAGACTACGTAGAATAGACCCAACATTTTTTATTCTCTGTTCGGTTCAAAACTTCCACTAATCGAGTTTGATGAACTTCACTCAAGTACTGTTCTAATCATGTTCATGGTTTTATAACCATCTTTTCTTTTGCTCAGCGGACAGCAACGAATTGTCTGAGTGTCATTCACCTTTTAGTTTCTGAGAAATATTGGCTTGAGGCGTATAGCTTTTTAAGTTCCCTGTTGGTGATTCAGTGCAGTGGTAGTCCAGCATCTTTTCATGTATACAAAACTGCGTTTTAGTAACCAGGGACATCCGTGGTGGTTTGTTTCAGAGGTTAAGGCAGAGCTGCCATTTCTTCAGTTCTGAAGCTGTGTAAGGGTCGAAGAGGTTACCAATCTCTATGGTGAGAAAAGATGGGCTCTTTGAGACAGCACAGTTGAATAGCCGGAGACATGAACGCCCCTGCCTAGTTTGGGTAGCTATACATCTCCTCAGTTTGAATGTGAATGAGACTAGAGAGCAACAGAGAGAGCAAGAGAGCATGGAAATGAATGGCTCAGCCCTACAGCCAGCAAGATAAATATCAAATGGAGTCTTTCAATAAAGAAGTGAAGACCCTGTCAACAATGCTACAGGGAGTGTGAGTGAGACCTCCAGTCAGTAATGGAAGATTCCAGACTGCCTGAGGTTAGTACCTCCGGACTCTGAGAGGTGAACTTTGAGTGTGCATGGCTTTTTTAATATAATGGTTGTGTCTGAGAGAATATGCTACGCTTGCTTTTATTTCATCAGATGTGCTTCCCTCCCGAATTGATTTTGCAGAGCATTGCGGTGGGTTCCCACATAAGACGTATGAAATATTCCGTCTAAGCAAAGGACATATCTGGAAAAATTCCTTTAGCAGCTACTTACTGAAATATTGTGAGGCACAATGTGCCCTAGAGCTGTACAGTGTACCATTTGATAGTCATTACTGTGAAATCAGCATTCACAGTAGTGAGTCTGCACTAAGGCTGGGTATTGTTCAAAACGGTTCAGTTCCTGTACCTTAACTCTGATATCAATTTCTGAACAATACTTCTTTTCAATACCCTATTTTAAATCAGAAAAAGATGAGTTGAGAGACTTGCATTGCATTGGATTACAGAGTAATGAAAGGAACACCATGAATTATTTAAGAAACGCTGACATTAACATCACGCATACGGAACAGACTTTGGACAGCCAATCACCAGTCTAGATTTTTGAGCAAGACTGCTTACTGACTCACTGACGCTTATGAGACTACTTAGGTGTTGAAATTTACTATCGAATGACTGTCTAAATATGATTGTTTTTCAATTAATTAGGCTCCAGCCCTTTTTTTGTCCATTTTTTCAGGTTTGAGACTTGAGCGCTGAATGTTGTGCCAGATTGCCAGGTCACAAGCTCTGTGTTATAATGTTAAATTTCCCCACTTAAAACTTAAGACAACTTTGATTAATGTAAGATACAGTTATACATATTGCAACCTATGTGATTTGTAAATTACACTCTTTCAAATTGCGATTTTGATTATAAAAGCGGTTAATCATTCAGCCCCAACCACAGAAGTATTGAATTTCCACCCTAAGGGTGTAATGATTTCAATATGGTATTGAAAAATTTGAATAAAATGAACATTTGACCCAATGGATTGAAATTGAAACTGTGGCCCATATGACCCTTGTTCTTTCCTGAGTGTCTCTTATTTGTGATCGTTCATGGAAGCCACTGTCATTGATCAAAACTACTCAGCTAAATACATCTTATTTTTCATTACTTTTTTTTGTGTTTATAGTTCAATTGCACTGTTTTCTAAGATCACTATTTTACACAAGGACATGCCTCTTTGCAGTCTTAGTCTGTAAGAATCAAGGATTTTTTAAGACGTACATTTTCGAAAATTTAAATTAGATCCTGACCTCGGAATCTAAAATTGCATTGAAACTGAAACCACTTACTGAGTGTTTGAGCACTGTGACTATCCTGACCACTCATTGATGTTCTTTAGATGTTTGGGGGAATTAAGGCAATTACTTTTCAACAAATGTAAATCATTTCAGTGAAAATAAGAATGCTGTCTAGTCTTCAACTTTGTCCCATTAAGGTGTTGCTGTTGTATTTTTAGTATATTACAAGGCATATGACAACTGCAGTATGCGTATAAAAACAGTGGTATTTTGTCCATATTGTGATTTAGAAATCAGGTCAATATGCTGTGTCCCTGTCATATGCAATAGCCTTTCATTTGGCTTCATGCGAGCTGTTAAAACCAAACAGAAACAGGTTGCCTACAACATTTTGCATGTGCAGCACTGTTCTATACAGCTGGGAATATTCTGACCTCTTTTCCTCCGAGGTTAAACCCCCCTTTGGTATAGGATTGGACCCAGCCAACCTCAGCCAGCCCTCCAATCTGTAGCCCCACTAATACTCTTTAGCTCTTGCTGTGCAGCACCATGGGGTTCACCCCTCATGACAACACAGACTGAGGGGGTGGTCTGCCGTGAGCAATCAGGCAAATTGAACAGGGCAGAGAGAATCTGAATGCGTTTATAGCACCATTCGACTGAGACTCCTGCAGCTTTCCTTATAGCACTCTCCCTGTTTTGCCTTTTCTGTGGTGCTGCATAGAGCATTTTTTGTGTGTAATGATGGCAGTTGATTTGTAAAATGCACTTACATAAGAGATCCAGGAAATTATTTTGATCAGTATTATCACTGTGACTGTGGACATTATTGAGATGGAGCTTTTTTCTCCCCAGGACATTAATGGCAGTTGG